GGGAATTTCTGTCCAAATTGAGATAGGAACCAACGAATTTGCTCATTAAATGATGAGTGCAGAACGTTTGCTCTTTGACTTACTGTTATTTACTGAAACAATCACGAATCACACCAAAAACCCGGAAATTTACTTCTGCAAAAAGTCCAATATTCTGACATCTTGTCGTGCTGAAGCAGCTTTATAGGGAATGGACACCATTAATTTTTGCAAAATTCCAGAAGAAAAATAAAAGAAATCATTAAATATCATACTTGATTGTAAGTAAATAATAGGATCATGCAATGAGTGAAATCAGTGTGCCTAGCATGCTATCATTTTCGAGAAAAGAGTCATTATCAACACCTGAATAAATCCCCGCCATCTGATTGATGGATCGTTGATCACATGTCATTGAATTATTCGTACCAACGCACGGCGCGCGCGTGGTGCGCAGCACACAGTGCAATGGAAGTACTATTGCACTGTGATTAGAAGTACCATTGCACTGTCACTGCACACGTTGCCGATGGTGGCGCTGTGGTGTTTAAATTGGCAATAAAAGTTCTGAACTTATTGAACTGTTTGAGTTCTAAACTTATGGAAAAGTTTTAAATTGAGAAAAATTGAGTATGATAACACTGAACTCGTCAAACTTGTAAACAATTTTTAACTTGAATAAATTGGCTATTAAAAATCAACCAATCAGATGACGAGTATTTATTCAGGTGTTATATAAAGCAAATAATGAATGTTTCACATTCGTGTAATAGAAAGAATAATTTCATTCGGTGACAGATGAAATGTTCCATTCCACTCGGCTTCGCCTCGTGGAATGGAACATTTCATCTGTCACCTCATGAAATTATTCTTTCCATTGCACTCACAAACATTCATTATTTGTATATTAATCGGAATGGTTACCACAAAACCATTGCACTTTTACCGGGAACCCATGCGTCGAGAAAAATGAAGTTACATTTTCAAGTATATTTACTTTACTTAGTTTTTAATAACCTGCTTCAGATTGATTGTATCGGTATTTCTTAAATGTAATAGGGCCTATATTCCCGCTCAATTCCCTTTCTTGTTTTCTATTCCGATCAAATTCAGAGAATTGGGACTACATAAAGCCACGGTATAACTTCATGTTTGTAGATTTGGTTTAAATTACAGGGGTGGGGATAAAATGGGTCATTATATTTTGTTCTTGCACAGATAATAACTGTTATCGCATGTGTCTCCTCATTCAAAGGAATACAAGGAGTGGACCCCCCCCCCCCCACCATCGGAACGCCACACGGCAAACACATAGGGGTACACAAAAAAATATTAATGTTACAATTAAATATCAGCAGTTTCATGTGCTTACCTGATATGCTTGAGCTGCTTGCCTGGTCTTGTGACGTCACATCTTGCACTACAGGATGGGCCGAGCATAATTCTAAAATACAAAGTCGAAATTGGGATACTTTAATTTTCATTCTTTTTAACTGGAATAAACATTGACAGACAAATGATAGGCGCAAAATGCGTCTCTTGTTTTCAGGCAACGGTTTGGGCATTCTGACAGCGCCGAATCCAGTGGATTCGTTTATATTGTACGAAAACTATACGGATACAGTAGTAAAAGTGATGAGGCATCAACTGACAAAACTATATTCAATACAAATAAACTATGAAATGAAAACTAACATGACGACAATGTTTTTAAAATGTACCGTCCCAGTTATTTTCGATTTTCAACCGCAAAAACTAGATTTATTGTTACGTGTGCACACGTTTTGTGCTGGGATCGTGATGCTTGTAACTGTAAACCACAGACATACGAAGTTTCAGCTATGGAAATCAGTTGCCTGCTTACAGGTTCCATGTGTTGTTTTTGTTTACAATAGACAATAATCTGTAAAATTACAGTTGACAACGAAAAGTTCAATTCAGTTTCACACTTACGTGAGGGCGCAGTGATGGCAATCAGCGTGACCGCCAACACCAGCAGATTTGATGCAGAGTAAGACATTGTTTAGGAATACGATGAGAGAAAGTAAAACAAACGTCTTCAGGAGCGATCAGCTGGAGTCGAGTATGAACCGACGGAGGTTGGTAGATCGCTTTATATATCAATGTGCTGGGCATGATGTGTCGGGGTTAAAAGGTGCTGTTAGCTGAGCAGATATATAATCCGTCTGGCTTTCATGGAACAAATCCCCCGAGACGTTGTCTACGTGGGTCTATTTGTGTTGCTGAGAAGCTATATCAGGTACTTCCGACTTGGGTTAAACGAGGGCGTAGAGTCCGGGGGGGGGGGGGGGTTACGGTGGCATTTACCATCCCCTTCCCCGACATTTCGCAACGAGTGCCCTTTTTTAACATTCTGCGAACGTCGAACGATTTCTCAATATTAAAATCTACGATCCTGCATTCTGAGGCAGTTCAGTAACTTTAGCATTCCTTTCATTATTTTGGACCCCATTTTACTAGTATCAACATTAGTCAGCGGCTAGCGGTTGGGGTGGGGTGGAGGGAGGAGTATTGCAAGCCCCAACCCCCTCTAGATACGCTACTGGATTACGAATACATATGTTTCATCTATTATCACTCAGTTGCACAAAATTGTCATGACAAGACAGTCATATAGAAACCTGACTATAGGGACGATTTAACTTTTAAAAAAAATCTGGTCACACAGTGAAATTTCACGTGAAAAGTATGTCTACTCTAGATCTATGCGTTTTATTATAATCATAATGGTTTTTCAAAGTTGAACATAGAAACTGACTTGAGCAGGGTTGCACCTGCGACCTAATTTCATTAAAACTGAATAAATATACTAAAGAAAAACTTAATAAGGAAAGTTATTAATGTGTAATACAACATTATAATCCATCGATGCGCGGCAGAACTGGGCGGGACCAATATGGCAAGGTCAAATGGGTGAACATTGGAAGTCATTTCTTCATTTTCTTGCGACGCACGTTTTCTGGCACTAGATGAAACGCGCACATTAAGACGAGCCAGCAACTAAAAAAGTTCAAGGATCTTTCGCAAAAGGTTAACATTCATCTCCTTGTGACGCATGTGTTTTGACACTGGCTCACAGTTACCCTATGTATGACGATCCTGTAACGATCATGCATGTTCAAGATCGACGTTCATCCAAAATAGACTTAACCTCTGACATTGTCTGGGCAATATATCAAACATCGGGTAGTGACATTGCTGTGTAGAGTACCAATGCACCAAATTGCTCACGTAGGGAGCTAGGGCGAAAACAAGTCCCGGCCAAGACATTCATTTCCCTATGACGGATATGTTTTGACACTGGCTTTCTGGTTCATAGTTACCCTCATGTATGACGAGCCTGTAACTAACATCCATGTTCAAGACGTTCATCCAAAACAGACTTAACCTTCAAATGTTCTGGGCAATATATCAAAAACTATCTGGCAGTGACAATGCAGCAACATGTGGTTGCAGAGCAGTAAGTAGGCCCCAGAACAGTTGCCCCCTTTATTCAATTCAATTCAAACACATTTATGTCCTGTTCATGACAGAAATGGAAAATAATATAAGTAGTTACTAGGATATAAAGGCGGCTAGAGGTGGCAAAACCTTGAAAGCAGCTTGTATCAGGCACGCCATTACACAATCACGATTTGTGATATACTGCCTATGGGGGGGGGGGGGTCATCAGCAAATCATTGCTAAAATGTAGACAGGTTTGCTAAAAGGTTGCTTAAAGGACACATTATTGGCCTCCGTAAACATTCAATGGAGGCGCTGTTTAAATCCGATGATAACCCCGTATCCCAGCTGGCTCAGTCCGAATACTGTGCACAAGCGGACATTATTACCGGTACATAGTCACAGAGTAGGGGGATTTACATTATTTATAATGTATATATATTTCTATGCAAAACATAAAAATGTGAGTCAGAGCTGGGGTTCCCCCCCCCCCATCGGCATGACATTGGGTGACTTTTCATGTAACGTTTATCAGGGGTCAATGAATATGGTATCAAAAGCAATTCTGCGCGGTGGTCATGGTTGGGAGGGCAACCGATTTTTTAAAAAAAATGGTAATCAATTAATTTTGGTCCTTTTTTTTTGTAGTCCCGAAGGGGCCAACCTACTATCTTCTTTGTGCTTGACTCACTGTCTCTCACTTGTGAAATAGACTGGCATAGGTCTCACCTTGGTCCCAAAAATTACTCTGCTGGTCCCAGAGGGCCAGTCTACGGTCTTCTTTGTACCTAACACACTGACTGACCCACTGACTGACCCAAATAGTTCAATAGTTCATAGAGACCCCAAAGTCACAATTTGTATACTGTATTCACGTACGTTTATTGCATTAAAAGGAAGTAAATTATCATTATTATAAAACAAGACAAGCATTTCAACGTAATGAATCGTAAAAAAAAAAAAAAAAAAATATAAGAATCAACCTGGGGGTCCGACTTTGACAAGGCAAGGAGGCCTCTTATGTGTGTCCAGTTAATTATTTTTTCTTTTTATTTTGGTAATATGATAATCAAGTACTAGGTCTATAACAAGAGCAGTTATAAAGTAATTGAAAATCTTGTAAATATTACTCCTAGATAAAAAGACTGGTTTATTCTAACATACGATTATGGCAAATATTATACATGGCACAATAACACAACAATTATTAAGTTTATCAACCACAGTATTTGACAAAGTTTTTGCACCGTCACGTATTCTACCTCGAACGCAACATCGTAGCTTTTCCTGAAATAACCATTAAAGTTGATCGGTGTATCAGAGCATAAGAGAGTCCACAATTTTCACCCTCACTGCTTATCCACTGTGCTTTAACTTTTCGTTCCCCAATTTCATTTGAACGTATTTATATCAATGGACTCATTCTACTATGAGTAGCTGACTTTGAAATTGTCCAAAATGGATGCAATATAATAATTGATTATCGATTTCACTCCTGTTCCGTTTTTGGGTGGTCTTTTGTGTAGTTTTTTGGTGTTTTCTTATTATCATTTTGTATATATATATCTATTTTTAATAAAACAAACAAAGCCACTACGATTGTTGCATGCTTTTTATGCGTATTGTATATGCTGCACACAAACATACATTGACAACAAGAAAGCTTCTGCCTCTGACTCAAAACTACATCTAGCCAGTACGCACTGTTAACAAAGACTGGTTTCATAGATTGCGCAGTCATTAATATACTGTACAATGCCAAGAGAAGCGAGTTACCACTCTCCATATATTTTGTTACAGCATGCACGGGTTATAGGTCCAGGCCAGTCACGTGACTATAGAAGAAGTCGACCAGCAGTTCACGAGGGGCGCTTTGATGGTCCGAAATACCATGGAAGAAATAGTGTCCCTTTGCAAGGACATGAGTGTGTATGATGATGTATGGTGCCCTATCCCTCCTGATTGCTTAGCTTTCGTCACTTGTTGGTTGTTACGGTGTTTTCTGCAGTAATACAAAATCGAGAAACAAAAACTTTGCATCTAAGGTTGTTGAAGAATACTGGAAAAATCAAAACAATTTTCAATAAAAAAAACCTCGAGTCCTAAACAGAAACCTTGATCTACAATCATGAGGCCGTAGCACAGAAGTCAATAAAATATTCTCTCTGAACGATTTTTTCAGATGCACAAACGTAAATGAAATAAACAATCTGGACTTTTTCAAGAAACCCTGCAAATATTTATTAAGGCATCAACCGATTATTGCTAGGCCACCAATAACTTGAACATACATTTGTACTATTCGAGCTTTTGTTCATTCGGATGAATGCATTATGATAGTTTTTACTATCAAATTGGATGGAGTGTTAGTTCTTGTATGACGCTAGAACATGTCCATCTTTCTAATAATAGGAATACGCAGAATATTTTCTATGATGATTTGAATCATTGACAAGGTGGTGTAGGTTTCGTTACACTGCCCTCATTGTTCGCTTACCATCACTGCAGATCACTCCAGCATCGTGAGAGTGGCTACAACTTGTCTCTTCCCAGCAGTGGGAAGGACAGTCGGAAATTTTCTCTTCGGAGCCTTCGCACGCCACGCCGTCCATATGGACGGGTCCGCTACCTTGCCCGAAGTGGGCAGCGGACTTGGCCTCCAGTGCGCCTGAAAAACCGAGCTGTCGGCAGACGATCCCCGCATCAGTCTGGTTCCAAGTTGTATCACAGATGGTGCCCCAGCTGCCGCCACGGTATATCTCCACTCGGCCGCTGGTGCGAGATCCGCCGACCAACCGAAGCTCATCTGATCATTTCACAATAAAGATATCATCTCAATTTAGAAAACAAGACGAGTTACCGTCTGACGCCTACTCTGTGGAAGGGTGTAATAATGAAGAAGGGGCGGATACGTGCCCCACCCTCGTGGTTAGTAGACCTCCCAATCCCCTCTTCAGCTGGAAATACAGGCTGATAAAAATATGTCACGTACCGACCAAAATCAAATTACCTGTCTGTCAGTGACAGTGTCCCAAAGAACCCATAGGCCTACTGAGGACATCAAGTTGGCCTATATTCAAGAATCGTTCCCCGTGCTATTAACAAGTTTTATCCTAACAAGTTTTATGCTATTTTTTTGTATAGCAATACGAAAGTTATTCACTTTTGAATGAAACATTGAGCGAAAAATTAGCCCGTTTAGTTGTTGAATAATTATTACTTTACAGTTTCGAATTATTCGCTTCCAGACAATAATTCTATTCTCGTGGGTATAGGCTGGTCCCCGCCCCACAATAAGCCTCTGTACTAATGACGTCACACTTTGTTTACATGACATCCTATGGTGCTTAGTGGACCGTGGGCTCCCACTGGCTCCATAGGAAAGTGAACATGTAAACAAAGTGTGACGTCATTAGTAGCACAGAGGCTTATTAGTATCGATAATGTACGGACCGGGAGTCAGTCTGCTCGCAAAGTAGATCCGTTTGTGCCCAAAGCAAAACCTGTTTTTCTTCTTCAGAGGGTTGCAGACGTCCGAATAGTTAAAAGAAACATATTTGGTTGGAATAAAACATACAAGTTGTAAATTTATTAATAGAATAAAAATAATATGTTGAAGACCATGGGGAACTCTATAGTCCACATCATTATTAAAGGGAGGCACAAGGAAAGTTTTGAATTCCTATTTTCGACGGGAATGTCTATTTTGTAGGTGTAAGAGATAATAATTTTTTTCAGATTTTTTTCATTGAGTTCATCAGTATATTTTTCCTGCACTTAAGGGTCTTTGTTTGAAGAATGTGTTTCAGGGTGGAGTACCTCCTTAAGTGATTTTTATCATCAGAGAACGCTGAAATATCGTAAAGACCTGGGGATGATTTGATAACACACGAGTTATTTCTTACCGGGTCTTGGTTTACAAACGACTCCTGCTACGGTTGAGCTGCTGCATTGCTGAGAGCCGGTACAGACAAACGGACAGTCAGCCAGCCGTCGTTCAGTTCCAGTACAGGCGACTCGATTCATCACGATCGGCCGGTCACTCTCTCGGCTGGACAACCCCGTTTTAGCCTCCAGAGCCTCGATGAAGCCGAGCTGATGACAAACGGTGGTGGCGTCCTTCATATCCCAACTGCTATCGCAGACTGCACCCCAAGCATCATGGCGGTAGATTTCCACTTGGCCGCTCCATTTGTCGTCACCGCCCACCAATCGAATCATGCCGCTAGTAACTGTTGAGATCGAGAATTAGTTTCTTTCAAAATTAGTTCTTGAATGACACGTATCTTCCGATTTGAACAACAATAAAACGTAGGTCTAACTCTCGATAACAATAAGTCTTGTAAGTTTCACACTCTTTCATTAGGCTCACTTCTTGACAGAATGTTTGTGAAAGACAGCCTCTATAATCGTATCTATAATTTGAACACAAAAACGCGCAAAAGATGCTTGTGTAAATACATATCATTCGTTTATTTTTTTTTCACTAACTCGAGGTGCCATTTCATGGCTCAAATCGCCTAACCAGACTTATTCCCCCTTCCAATGATGACTGTTGTCTGACAATCCCTGTTGTGTTACAATGATAATTCTTTCATGTTTACATCCAGGGAACTCAACTCAGATCTCCCACTCAATCTGCAATATGAAGGGCATTATCCAATTTGTGATCCAACCCGTCGTTTAGTATGATTTGTACTGGGTATTGTCAGAATGAAACAGAGCTGGACCAACACGTGTCATCAATTAGAAAAGAAAGAATAAACACACCCATCAAGTGATATCAGCCGACAAAATACCATCATCCCAACTCCCGACCCTCCAACTTCTATGACCTGGATATATACTGACACAGGTTTTATGTGGGTCAAAGCAACCGACCCTATGCAAAAGCAACGGTGTTAGATTTAACACCGATGGTATCTTTGTAGGACCACTGGTGTTAAATATTCACACCGTACCTTTTTACAGTGTAGACGACCTGAAATATCTTAAAGAAAACAGTCGAATACCAGCATGATCGTTCGGCCTGCATCTGCATCAATGTTACACTGAATGAGTTCAACATAACTATAGATATAAATTGTATTAATACAACTTCATCCGGGTTCTTTAACTGCTCATCAAAACATGAATCGCAAGTCAGTGCTCGCAATTAGTTATTACAGTGTTAGAATTAACCAAGACCTTTAAATCTAACCCCGCCATTTATTTGTAACATTTACACCAATTGACAAGTGGTATCATCGCCTTTCTACATGTGACGTCATTTAGCATTTTTAAATTGGCCCACGTTACCTCGACATCCGAGCACTTCGAATCTTAGATAATAATGATCTTGGCTAGTCCATGTGAGTGGAAGTATGCGGAGGAATCTTGCCATCAGTACCACGGGGAACGTCACATTCAAAGGTGGTCCACTACCACTGTGCCCATTCAACTGGAAAAACAACAACGAAATGCACATAATTATCGGTAATTCAGAGATTTCGTTACGTCTGGCTTCTTTGCTATATAAAAACCTGCCCCGATGCAATATAGATGCGAAACAATTGTTGGCGGCACTATATCCATATAACATGAATGTCAACAACAAACAGTGTATATGGATCTGATACCTTGGATGTACATGGATCTGATACCTTGGGAGAACGAGGATCTTTTTCAGAATGACTTTTGATGTGGGAACAAACTCACTTGATATAATTTTTAAGGAATTGGTTTAATGTCACTTCCTCTTCCAAGCCTGAGTTGTAGGCGTGAAGAAACAGTATTAAACGAGGCTAGTAAAGCTGGTCCTAGATCAATCTTGGTTTAAGGTGTCTACGTAGTCATCGTATAGTCACAGTTGCGGGCGTGAGTGAGACTTATGCAAGTGTAATTCACAAGTAACAGTCAGTCAGTCAGTGAGGTAAAAATAGGACTATCGGCTGTTCATTCTGGGACCAGCAAAAATAATGAACAATGCAAGGACTTGACAATGAGGGCATTGGTGGGAATCCCGAGGCGGGGGACATGCAGGCTACACTGCAGAAACTATGTTTATCAATTAAACACTTTTCTAAACACTTTCTTGCTCTCAGTTTGTAAACGTGTCTAACATGTCTACATACTAAACATGTTTAGAGCATTCGTCGTCGTTCGTACGACGCTTCCATATCTAAATCACACGGGAATGTCCAATTCTTGCAGCCACTTGGCTGTATCTTCCTCTAGTTCAATCAGGCCGGTGGGACCGTGAGGGCCGGGGCTTGAAGATTGGGCAGGCTTGCGTGATGTGTTCTATGGTCTGTGGTAACCCACTACGGCAGGTGTCATCGTCACAAGCACTTAAGGAAGGAGCGGCTCTTTCCCCACCCTGTGCGGAGGCGGTTCAGGTGGATCCCTACAGAGCATTGATGGATAGTGCTTATCGCGAATTGAGCTTCTAAACATGGTTCGAAACAGTTTTTAGAGTTTAGTATCCCATTGCTACGGATTTTCACCTGTTATCTATGAGTTCCGATTGTGTGACGTCAAAGATCATCCGATTGTCCCCTGATGGGCCACCATTGTAGTAATGGTTGCATTGCAGGCGACTTAAAATGCCATACTTTCAGAATCTGCCACTATGGACTCGGCGTCCTCCATGTCGTTACAGTGCTGCAGACGGTGGCGGAAGGCGCGTGCTGCAACTGAAGGCTTCTGAAGGATTGAGGAGGTGTGCAATGGCATGAGTAGCCTTTAGTCAAGGCGCGCGTGTCTACCTGGAAGGGGGGTGGTGCCCCAGATTCTGGCACGAAAAAAGACCAGTCGAGTGGCGAAGCCACCTCGCGGCTTCGTCGCTCGTGCTATAGTCTTTTTACGTGCCAGCATCCAGGGTGCAGGTGCGTTACGTGTCCGGATAGGCGCGCGGGACTTGACATTCCTTCAGAAGCATTCGGCGGCAGCACGCGCCTACCACCACCGTCTCCAGCGCTGTACGTCATTGCTGAAACTCGCTCCATAAAATTGTCACGCCTTGCTTACATGATCTGAAAGTTTGGTTTAATTCCACAGGTAAACAGTATAGTTGAATACGATTCAAAGTTGGACTTTTTGACACGTAGGAGTACCTGTGCCGTGTACGTTTGTCAAAATCGTGAAGACATAGCACTCGGTATTCACGCAACATTTCCTAACGTTGTTTGTTATTAATCGTTATGCATATTATTAAACGGTGACGCAAACGTGTTGATTCAACTTCCAATCGTCGTTGCATATTTCAAACGCCTACTTAACTTTTCAAAAACCAGCAAAATGTATGCGTTAATTGACGAAACTGTTGCGTCATTTTATAATTAAAAAAAAACATTATTCTTTTGTGTTATTCTTGGCACGACCGGGCTTCCATATACGATTTGGCTTCTGATTATAGAGAATGCTATTATAACAAGATCCACACGGGATCCTAGGCTCACCTGTACGGTCTGTCCTCTGTCAGTTAGTTTCTGCCAATCATTGGACTCGCCGGTATTACTGGAGTTTACAGCAAAGGTTCGGATATAATAGCCTCCCGGATATCCCTGTACGATGACCCCCGTGATGGCCGTGTACTGACCGAGGTCTACCTGGATCCATTGACCCTCGCGCTTTCCAAACGGGCATACCCACCAACCAGTACCTGTGGGGAATACAACAAAACACCATGGCATTCAAATATGTAGAACCAAATCCTACAGGGTTTCCGTAATAGAAATACAACCGTTACGAAAACTGTGATTATAGCAAAAAATTAGTATTGTAAGTTACGCCAGTACACAGGCTTTGATTATTTTGATGTCATTCCTGTTCTGAATAATTGAGTAACTCTTTGTTTATTATGAAGGACCCCAAGTGTCCGTTGTTACACGTTAAATGAGGAGAATGAGGTTTTGCCGGTGGCTGCTCGCAAGGCCTACACGATTCTTGAACGCTTCATAATTAGCGATGAGACATGATTTTCATAGAGGAAAACATACAAAGTGATTTTACTTGCAGAGATAAATAATCAGGTTTATCTGTCCTGGCATCAAATTTCCATTGTTTGATCGGAGAAAATTTCAGAAGGGGCGTAAATCCTGGGGGGGGGGGGGTATATATCCTCCCACTTTTTGACCGGGGGGGGGGATGGCCTATTGAATCATCAACCCTCTTGTCCGTTATGAGAAAAAAATATGCGGATGTCGAGGTATTTGTCGAACATCCCAACAACCAAAATGTATTCAATAGCACTGAAAGTGGAGAAACAAAATACAAAAGCTTTTTAAATGCGCCGTTTTCATATAAGTGCGAGTAAACATATTGATATTATATTCTGAAGAACGCCTCCTAGTATAACGTGGCACCGTTTTGATGTAAGCGCGAGTATACATATTGATATATTTCCTGAAGAGCGCCCTCTAGTGTAATGTGGTGTCCAGTTCAGTAATTAGGCCTATTATGTTTGTGAAATCAATGTTTTGGGTTTCTACTTTTCATTTCTTTAACATGTAACAATTCACATCTGAATTCCCCAGGATAAAGAAAGATTACTCAGTCATCCAGATTAGGAATGACTTGCTACAGCCATCACATCAAGGCCTGTGTACTGGCGCAACTTCTAGTACCAAATTGCATCATTGCCATTTGGAGGTCGTTTATAATCACAGTTATGCATACTGTTCTGTTTTTTGCGGAGCCTGGAGAATCAGTGACAGGAATTCACGCCAGAGACTTGAGTAAGTGATGTTGATTTTGTTTTAATGACAGTAAACCAGTGACGTTTTTTTGTTTTTCCCCAGCTGGGGCATGAGAACACTAGTGTAATGTTTAATACAAAACAAGTAAAAATATCAATCGTAACACGGACAGAGTGATAGAATCGATTTTTGGTCAAGTTTATGGTGAATGCATTGACTACTCTGGCGACAACCCTATCGCCCATCCCTGGCCGAAAAAAAATGTGAGATGTAATTCCCTAAGTCGATGGGATTTACATAAGCACGTGAACACAGGATAGGGGCCTATGCGGTCAGACTGTAGCATGAGTTTTGCTGCTTTCATGTAACGGGAAATTGTCATATACATGCGGCGTGGCGTGCTCGCACTGAATCACTTCCATGCATCTTTCTCTCAATTTCAAGAACAGTTTCAGATTATTCAAGCTTTCCAGGAGTACAGGGTGCAGCAATAGTTCAAATAAAATATTGAAAACAAAATGAGCTGACTTCCGGAGATTATCCAGAATCCATGGATTTTTTTTTGTTAATTGACCTCTTTTTATATTTAGAACTCAAAGAAAACGACATTTACGGGTTAAACGCATGGTATTTATCCCAAAAGTACGGAGCTCTAGAATTTTGTCATCCGACTTGTTGAGATCCTGAGATATTTTATCGCTCGATGACGACATATTACAGGCAAGATGACGACATCCTGAGATAAATTGTCATTGCATGACGACATCCTGAAAATAGGATGACGACATCCACCCTCAAAATGCATTCTGACGTGAAGTATCTCTGGATGTCGACATCAACTAGTCTTAGGATGCCGTCATCCTGTGACTTTCAGGATGTCGGCATGTTTCCTGTAATATTCCTAAGATAAAATATGTCAGAATGTCAACAAGTCGGATGACAAGTCTAGAGCTCCGTACAAAAGTAACCTACCGAAATATTATCAAAAAGCTTACTTGGATTAAAGATCGTAGGGTACCAACCAATCTGTGAAATTAGTTCGTCTGGCCTGCTGTCATTTCGAAGAAATCAAGAAATTTAGGTAATTTCCAATGATCAGTCAATTGACTGCATGATTTTTGAAATGCAGAGTAATATGGACGAAATCGTGTTTCGTGGTCAAACGATTGTGCATATGGGTTTTCAATGTTTTCGCGATAAATTTCGCAATAGGTTTCAACAGTTTAGGTTTAACTTTTGAACATTCTTCGTTAGAATTTGAGTGGTGTTATTATTGGAAACGAAAAAAAACGCATGTAAAGCGAATGATCCTGGTTTTTAACAAGAGTGTAATCCATAATTAATACAACTGCTAAAATACAAGGTTAAATTGTAATTTAGACAGGTTTCTAGTTGCACATTTTCTGGATCGGGCAAATACATTTCCTATGTCTGAACTCCCGAAAAGGAAAACAAAGTAAGCAACAGTTGCAGACTATTGCAATGAGAGTAGCAATCAATGAGACTTACCATTCAGTCGGGCATTGCTTGGGGGATATGAGACGTGTGAGCCTGACGCCGTCAGGCTGGAATCAGGGATGGCCCCACTGGTCATCCCCAGCGGAGAACTCGTACACGAAAGACCTGAAATGACACAAAATATATCGGATACAAGATATCGTTTCTTTCATTCCTATTTTGCTTGCAATGAAAAATGTTTGGGCGATTTTTTAAGGGACCATGGCATGAAATTTACACTGAAACATTATTTTGAGCAACTTGCTCTAAAATGCAAGAAAACCACGAAACAAATGTTTTAGTTTAAAGCTATAGTCCATCATTTGCAGTCATCCGAAAAAGTAACTGGCGTATTATTGTTGAAAAACATACTTGGTTGAAAGATAGTAAGTGGACTAAACTCCCTGTGGAATTAATCCTTCTGGCAAGCTATCATTTTGAAGTAATCAACCAAAGAAGGCCTTTCCAACGGTGCGTCTTAAGACGCACCGTAGAAACATTTTAATTAGTATAGTTCGTTTTGTTTTGCGGCGTAGCGCGCGAAAGCATTGGCACGACGCACAGGCGCGCGCGGTTGCTATAATTCGTCGGATCAGTGCGCGACATCGCGTATAGCTGCAATTCAAAACAATTCAAAATATGATTCAGCAACTCTTGATTTGAAATTGAGTTCCTAGAATGCTGTTTTTCTTGGAACATACAGCTGAAGCTGAGCTAATTAAACTTCATCAGGTTAGTTGTTCAGTATCCTTCATTAGATTTTGAACACTTTTGTTGCTTCAAACGAACAAAATGCACAAATTACAAAATAATGATGGACTACATCTTTAAAACGTGTGTAAAGTGCCGTTATGGGTTTTTCGTGCAATTTACGGACCCACACATTTGCTGCTTGAATTAATGTTTCAAATATTTACGACAACCCCCCCCCCCCCGAAAAAAAACAATCTGGCAACTTTTCTTTTCTGCAGCAGTTTTAAACATCGAAGTTTCTACCTTGAAAGGCATCATAGTTTCGCTCATTATGGAAATGCACATAGCATAAAAAAACCTTGCAAATAGCAGTATGCTATGAACATTGACAAACAAGTTATACAGGACACAAGGTGCATTCTCAACGATTGCATTCGAACGTTCCATAACATTGGCTCTTAGAGTGTAATGGGATGTAAGAGAATGTCACACGAGCAGTGGTGACAATCGACTGACTGGCTGACTGACCGTCGCTTGTGAATTAGACTCGCTTAAGTCTCACCTTGGCCAAAAATGTTGAGGTAGGATTAGGCCCAAAACAAAAAAAAAGTCGGTCTCTGGTCAGCGCGCGCGTTGATTTTAATCATGCGCGTCAATCTTTTTTTTCCCCAAAATGTTCTGCGGTAGCTCCAACAGCGCCCTCTATTGCCTCACCTCCTCATTTTTTGTTACCAAAGTGCACCAAGGAATGGGAAATTGCATCAAGGCAAATGATCGAGAGCACCAAGGCAAATTATGGAGGACACCAATGTACATGAGGATACCAAATAGCAAAATAGTACCCCACCTTGTCTGTACAATCCAAGCTTGAAGAAAAAGACCCCCCCCCCCCAAAAAAAAAAAGCCACGTCCCCGCGTCAATTCCGGAACTTTGGTCTGACCAGAGACCAAATACTTTTTTTTTTGGCCTTACACCGTGTAACACCAATGAATGGTCTAAATCTGGCCCATTGTGCTCATCGCATGAATGAAGGGACTTCCAGTGCATAGCCATTTTGAATCGATTGAACAGAATGCTATGCGTTGTCGGCTCATCTTTACTAGGCTTGCCTTATCTTGTTGGTAATAAGATTTAATGTTTTATTTATAATGCAAGATGGCCTATATCCCTTGTTTAGTTCCTTTTGTCCCCATCTCCATCCACATGGAATAGCTTCATATTTTGTAAAGATGGTATGAATTTTTTGGATAGAGTTTGATACAATGTGCCATTTATCATACAGTGTTAATAAATCTTACCGCAGATGTCCCTTCGTTTAAAGAATTATGTCCCCCCCCCCCACACACACACACCATCGGATCGCCACACGGCAAACATAGGGGTGCAAACAATACATTACATTTTACAATTAAACATCAGCAGTTTCAAGTGCTTATTTACCTGATGTGCTTGAGCTGCTTGCCTGGTCTTGTGACGTCACATCTTGCACTACAGGATGGGCCGAGCATAATTCTAAAATACAAAGTCGAAATTGGGATACTTTATTTTTATTCTTTTTAACTGGAATAAACATTGACAGACAGAATTAATGATAGGCGCAAAATGCGTCTCGTGTTTTCAGGCAACGGTTTGGGCATTCTGATAGCGCTGAATCCAGTGGATTCGTTTATATTGTACGATAACTATACGGATACAGTAGTAAAGTGATGAGGCATCAACTAGCGAAACTATATTCAATACAAATAAACTATGAAATGAAAACTAACATGACGACAATGTTTTTAAAATGTACCGTCCCAGTTATTTTCAATTTCCAACCCCAAAAAATGGATTTATTGTTACGTGTGCACACGTTATGTGCTGGGATCGTGATGCTTGTAACTGTAAACCGCAGACATACGAAGTTTCAGCTATGGAAATCAGTTGCCTGCTTACAGTACAGATTTCCATGTGCTGTTGATTTTTTTTTTACAATAGAAAATAATCTGTAAAATTACAGTTGACAATGAAAAATTCAATTCAGTTTCACACTTACGTGAGGGCGCAGTGATGGCGATCAGCGTGGCAGCCAACACCAGCAGATTTGATGTAGAGAAAGACATTGTTTAGGAATACAAACGTCTTCAAGAGAGATCAGCTGGAGCCGAGTGTGAACCGACGGAGGTTGGTAAATCGGTTTATATATTATGGTGCTGGGCATGATGTGTCGGGGTTAACAGGTGCCGTTAGCGGAGCAGATATATAATCCGTCTGGCTTCCATGGCACAAATCCCCCGAGACGTTGTCTACGTGGGTCTATTTGTGTTGCTGAGAAGCTATATCGGTGACTTCCGACTTGGGTTAAAACGAGGGCGTAGAATCCGGGGGGGGGGGGGGGGGTTACGGTGGCACTTACCATCCCCTTCCCCGACATTTCTCAACAAGTGCCCTTTTTTAACATTCCGCGAACGTCGAACGATTTCTCAATATTAAAATCTACGATCCTGCATTCTAAGGCAGTTCAGTAACTTAAGCATTCCATTCATTATTTTGACCCCATTTTACTAGTATCAACATTAGTCAGCGGCTATAGCGGTTGGGGTGGGGTGGAGGGTGGGGTATTGCAAGCCCCAACCCCCTATAGATCCGCTACTGGATTACGAATACATATGTTTCATCTATTATCACTCAGTTGCACAAAATCACCATGACAAGTAAGTCATATAGAAACCTGACTATAGGGACGATTTAACTTTTAAAAAAAATCTGGTCACACAGTGAAATCTATTCGTTTTGTTATAATCATAATGGTTTTTCAAAGTTGGACACAGAAACTGACTTGAGCAGGATTGAACCTGCGACCTAATTTCATTAAAACTAAATAAATATACTACAGAAAAATCTAATAAGGAAAGTTATCAATGTGTTATACAACATTATAATCCATTTATGTGCGGCAGAACTGGGCGGGACCAATATGGCAAGGTCAAATGGGCGAACATTGGAAGTCATTTCTTCATTTTCTTATGACGCACATGTTAGCTTGCAATAGATCAAACGCGCACATTAAGACGAGCCAGCAACTAAAAAGTTCAAGGATCTTTCGCAAAAGGTTAACATTCATTTCCTTGTGACGCATGTGTTTTGACACTGGCTCACAGTTACCCTATGTATGACGATCCTGTAACGAACATGCATGTTCAAGACGTTCTTCCAAAATAGACTTAACCTCTGACATTATCTGGGCAATATCTCAAACATCTGGTAGTGACATTGCTGTGTAGAGTACCAATGCACCAAATTGCTCACGTAGGGAGCTAGGGCGAAAACAAGTCCCGGCTTCAAACATTCATTTCCTTGTGACGGATATGTTTTGACACTGGCTTTCTGGTTCATAGTTACCCTCATGTTTGACGAGCCTGTAACTAACATGCATGTTCAAGACGTTCATCCAAAACAGACTTAACCTTTGACATTGTCTGGGCAATATATTAAACATCGGGTAGTGACATTGCTGTGTAGAGTACCAATTAGGCACTAAATTGCTCACGTAGGGAGCTAGGGCGGAGCCGAAAACAAGTCCCGGCCTAGACATTCATTTCCCTATGACGGACATGTTTTGACACTGGCTTTCTGGTTCATAGTTACCCTCATGTTTGACGAGCCTGTAACTAACATCCATGTTCAAGACGTTCATCCAAAACAGACTTAACCTTCAAATGTTCTGGGCAATATATCAAAAATATCTGGCAGTGACAATGCAGCAACATGTGGTTGCAGAGCAGTAAGTAGGCCCCAGATCAGTTGCCCCCTTTATTCAATTCAATTCAAACACATTTATGTCCTGTTCATGACAGAAATGGAAAATAATATAAGTATTGAACAGGATATAAAGGCGGCTAGAGGTGGCAAAACCTTGAAAGCATAGCTTGTATCAGGCACGCCATTATCACGATTTGTTATATACTGCCAATGGGGGGGGGGGGTCATCAGCAAATCAATGCTATAATGTAGACAGGTTTTTCCTCTGGACACATTATTGGCCTCCGTAAACTTTCCATGGAGGCGCTGTTTAAATGCGATGATACCCCCGTATCCCAGCTGGCTCAGTCCGAATGTTGTGCACAAGCGGACATTATTACCGGCATATAGTCACAGAGTAGGGGGGGGGAGGGTACATTATTAATAATATATTTCTATGCAAAACATAAAATGTGAGTCAGAGCTGGGGTCCCCCCCCCCCCCATCGGCATGACATTGGGTGACTTTTCATGTAACGTTTATCAGGGGTCAATGAATATGGTATCAAAAGCAATTCTGTGCGATGGTCATGGTTGGGATTGCAACCGATTTAAAAAAAAAAGGTAATCAATTAATTTTGGTCCGTTTTGTAGTCCCAGAGGGTCAACCTACAATCTTCTTTGTGCTTGACTCACTGTCTCTCACTTGTGAA